GCTCAAAATCAATGAAAAAAAGTCTGAATCTTCAAGCTTTTCATCTCCATATCCTGTTAACATCATTAAATCGTGCAAAACAACTTCTCATTCTCATCAATCTGAAATTTTCAAGGTATTTTTCTAAAAACTTCTTTTTATTATTTTGATTTAGAACTAGTTTAGATTAGTTCTAGGATGAACATTTATCGGGCATTGATTGTTTGGTGATTAGAAACAAGATTTTACAACAAATTTCATCAAAAACACACAATATTTCAAATTTTTATTTGAAATTCGAAATAATAAAATAGAAAATCTTTTGATTTATTTAGATGCTTTTGACTCAATTATGTTGTTTTTCATGAAAACTATACATATTATGATTTTTCAAATTATTCAAATAGTTTTCAAAACCTTGCCCATTAGGATTTAGTTTAGAGAACCTTGAATTATTGCGGACTCAATTGAGTTTTGGGATTGATTAAATTGCATACATTTGTTTTTCAAATTGCAGGTTACTTTCCTTATTCTGATTCCTTAAACCATTTCAAATCCTAAACGCCCTAGGACCTCTTCTAGTCGTTCTACCAAACCTTCTAATCTCGTTCATCCTCAACCCTCAAATCTTATAGGATCATATTTTAATATGCCTGAACGTCGTTGAGAAGAATTGTACCATAGGTACATGAATTCTTTCCAATCTTATAGAATCCGGGAAGATCGTATTCCTTCTGTTCAAGCCATGATTGATATTGACTTCGAATACCTTCCGATTCTCAAACCATGGAAGTTTGATAAATTGTTTTCCCTAAAACTATCATCTATCATCAATTATTCCGCATTTTCTACTCTAATGCGGTATGTATTCAAAACCATATTTTCGTTCGTTTTTGGAGACATTTGATCTACGGTTTGCTTCCATCGAATCCCATTTGACTGCTAACAACGAAGCGGTGAATCATCGCTTAGACGCTTTGGAAGCTCAACAAATGGAGTTTCAACGACAGATGCTAGCACGTATGGATGCTCTCTCTCTTGAGATGCAAGCACGATTTCCTCCTCCTCCCGATCCTCCGATGGAATAGATTTTTCCTTGTTATGCTTTCTTGGATTTAAAACTTGGATTGATTTTGATGTTTCTGGATGTTTATTTTGGATGATGAATGTTTGGATTAATGTTTGGTTGTTTTGGCTATAAGAACTTAATACATATATGTTTAGTTTGATTAGAATTTTCTTAGTTTTTGCATCATTAGACATATATGACCAATTTACCATTTCACATTCGATATGAATATTGATTATGGAACTAATGGCTAATCTCTCTTTTGATTGTGATCTTAGCAGCATAATCTTATTATTAAATAAATTGGCTAAATTTTTAGAGCCTTTTTGATTTAACAAAAAGGGGAAGAAGATGTATCATAGTAAGGGGGAGTAAGTAATTTTCAACTTTTCAAATTGATTTCAAAAATAAATTTTTAAAACAAATATTAAAATTACTCAAGTGTTTTGTTATATCAAAAGAGGGAGATTGTTGAAAATTTTGATGTTTCGATATAACAACCTAAGTATAAATGAATTTAAGATTTTACAAAGATTTTATAAGTATATTCGATTCAATTAATCGAATATCAATTATTACTCCAAGTCTTTCAAGATCAATTTCAAACCTTACTAAATGTGTAAAATTGTGTTTTATACTTAATATATTTTTGAATTTTCACAATTTTCCAAAGTGAGTTTGAACCAAAATCAAGCCTAAAATCAATTTTTCAAATGAATGCACCGATGCACCAATCCATGCATCGATGCACCGATGAATAAATTGAACATCGAATGTAGTTTATGCATCGATGCACTCAGGTTTTAATGAAAACATCGATTGCATTTTATGCATCGATGCACTTAGGCTTATTAAAAACATCGAATGCATTTTATGCATCGTTGCACACTTAGTGCACCGATGCACTAAGTGTTCCAATAGTCAAAATATTTGAATTTAACACATGATGCACCGATGCACTTTGTGTATGCATCGATGCACTGACGCTCCCAACTGATTTTATTAATTTGTTTCACACTTAAACGGCTCTATTGACTCCACTAATCATCCCCAACGTTCAGAATCAATTGAAGGAGTATTTAAAAAGCTTAGAAGCCATTGATCAAAAACAAGAAACAACAATCAACAAGAATCAAGAGAGAATTAAAGAGAAAGCATCAAACCTCAAGTTTGAGCATTTCAAGCCTATTTTTCATTCAATATTCATTTTGCTTTCAAGAACACTACTTGTACTCAATTGTATTCATTTTTTAGTGTTCTTTTCTTTGTTATAGAATTGTGTAAACATCTTACCTTGTGAGGATTTTCTTGTAAGTTTGCAAAATTTGTATTGTTCTCTTTGGGAGAGAGTGTTCTCAAGAATTTGGGGTATAATTCTTAAGGGATTTGTAAGGTTACTCTTTGTCCTCAAAAGAAAGACAAATTAGTGAATTTGTGGAAAATCTTTAGTGTGGATAGCTAAGGTAGTGGACGTAGACTTTGGTTGAGAAAGTCGAACCACTCTAAATCGTTGCGCAATTACTTTCAATTTTCTGCAAAAGCTTCCACCAAAATTTTAAATTGCCAATTCACCCCCCTCTTGGCCATATTCGTCGATCGATTAACTCAATAAAATGACCAAGATGACGTTTTATTTGTAATTTTGTTGATTTTTCCTGATATGGACTCTCCAATTAAATTTGAATACATGATTTTACGTTCACGGATAATTTCTCTTTACGCTCGGTTCTGATTTTGTTCAATAATTTGCAATTCTTAGTAGTCTTTCAATAGCTTAATCTCATTTTTAATTTGTGATTCTTAGTATTCTTTCAATCTCATTTTGTGGTTCGTTTGTCATTACAGTCAGATATGTTTGCATCTATTTTTTGTTCGGGTGTTTTGGTTAGATTTTTAACATTTTCATTGTATGATCCTCCTATGATCTAAAGTGACTAGTTTCAGTTTTATAGAAATTTATCTAAATTATGTATTTAATTTACAATGATAAATGTAGACTCTTACTGTAAATTTAAATATCTTTAATTTTTAATAAAACTAACTTCTTCTATTAAAAAATGAAAATAAGCTTAAAATAAAAAAACTAAGAATATAAGTAGTCAAGTGTGAATATTTGATCGAATTAATTTTTTAAATTAATCAAATCAATAAATCATATTTCATTGTTTAAATTTTATTTAAATCTTTTAATAAAAATCAATTCAAATAAAATTACTATATAATCAGCTCCTTGTCAGTGTAATGCCGGCAGATTCCTTATTTGTTACATGAACTCTAACTCCATATTATGCCACGTGTTTGATTCCCAACAAAGGAACACTTCATGATATGCAATTTCCCACCGTGACTTCAATTCGGATAGAATCCCGTAAAGGTGTGAATTATGATGGTGCCAGCTCAGCAATACTCGAGCTCGACTCGGCTCGTTTACACCCTTAATTGCTATTCTTAAATGAATTAGATTCAAACATTAAAAACGATTAAACATTTAAATATTTATTATCAAATTATTAAAGATCTTTAAAACATATACTACTCCTATTCATTTTAAAATAATAAAAAAAAACGATTAAGAGCACGTGCCCCATGAGTGTTACTTATAAAACTTTTTCTCATGAGATTAATTTGGAAAGAAAATTAATTAAAATAAACAAAAACTCCGATCCCAAAGCCTTACACGTCTGCTCTGTCTCATATCGATGTTGACTGCTTCTTATCGGTATTGTCGTAATTAGTACGCTCTATACGTGTCTTTATTGACCATATCCTTTACATTTGACCTTATCTGTACATTCCATGTCACGTGTGTTTTTCAGATGCACGAAACGATGACATCATCAATGGGAAACACCTCCAAGAGGGAAAGAAAGAAAATACTTGGTGACAAACAGGTCAGTTCAGTAATTCATGTCTGTTTATGTATTTTTCTAAAATTTTAAGAGTAAATTACTTATTTGATCATTTATTTTTTATATTTTTATTTTAATCATCTTTTAATAAGTTATATTGTATTTTTTTTAATTTATTAATGAGACCTTGATAATGTTAGTAAAATTTGTGCACTTCAATTTATGAACATTTATATTCAAATTTTATGTACATAAATTAAAATTTTATTTTGATTTGATTTTAATTTATTTAATTAACATAATATATCAATGGATTCTACTTGTTACAAATGGGAGATATCAAATTTATATCTCCATTAATGTGTGTTTGTCAAACATGCACTTATATGATAAAAAATAAATAATCAAATATTTATTTTTAAAATATAAGTACATATACAAGAATGAAGATAAATATATATTTTTATATAAAATCATACATTCACAGATTATGCTATTAATTTTAAGGGTTAAATTATAATAAGTTCAATTCAATAAATATTAAAAGATTATTTTTTTAAGTAAACTACGTATTTAATACTTAAACTATAAATTTTAATCTATTTTGAAAAAGATAAAAATTTAATTATTAAAATAGACCAAAAGTAATAATTTAAATATTAAAAATATAATTTATTATATTTTTGAGTAATCCAAAATACTTCTAAATGATGATATATGTTATAAATATTCAACTATTTAACAATAGATACCTTAAAATTTCTGATATTTGAACTTGAAATATCTAAAATCAACTAGCATTCATTCAACCATATAAATACATTTGCTATTTTAATGATAAATAAAAAAAATTAAATTTCATATGAAACTATTTATTTTCAAATATAAGATTTTCCCAACCAAAATGTAAATTGAGATAAATAGAAAAAAAATAAAAATTACATATAATTCTTATCTTCCTAATTAATTTAGCCAAAATAGAAAATCTAATGGATTCAACGCCGTATAATTTTATTATTTTTGTACCCAACTCTGAGAAGAGTATTCTTAAAAACACAAATTAGATAAAAGATAAATTATGAAAAACAAAATAATAAAATGTAAAAAAAAAAGTACATTCTTAACGAAGACGGCTTGGGAAAAAAAGAATGTTCGATTTCTTTCTACATCTTTTGTTCGATAATTGAGAGAAAGCAAACATCAAATCCCTTTCGAGAACCAAGCTAATACGTCTAAATGTCTCTTTGTTTGTATTCCCCCTCTTAAGCTTTTCATATTCCTCTTGTCTTTTTCTTTTAATTCTAATCAAATCTAAAGCTAAATGGGAAAAAGGGGACAAGATTTGGATTCAAATGATATTTTTTTTATGTTGTAAAACAAAGGGATTACTATGCACCGGTGGATGAAGGATAGTGATCGGGATGAGAACTCGGTGGCACTGAGAAATCTGACCTACTTACCTCAGTTTGATCGGACGGCTGCCTCAAAATGTCCATCTGTTGTTGCTCGGCGAAAAACAGGGGAAAATAAGCAGAGGAAGAAGATGAAGAGCCGCAAGCAGAAGAAGTAGAAGCTAGAAATGAAGAAGGGAAAGGTGAAAAAGAAGAAGATAAGAGTGGTTGTTGAATATTGGGTAATTGAGAGGATTGAATCATCTGTTCCATCGAGCTCGTATCTTGTTGCTCATGGACACCGGCGGAACTCTGTAGCAGCTGAGAGTACTGCCAATAATCTCTCAGCATATCAGCGGTGGAGCTCTGGAGAGCTTGGTAAAACGACGGCAATAGTGAAGAATGAGACGGTTGGAAATGGGTCGTTAGAGAACTGGAAACCGGTGTTTGGGTGGCGGGAAAATTAGGCATTGGTTGAGGAACGGCCCTGACAAGTTCGGGAAAATTTAATTTGGCCCTGTTTCCCCTGAATCTCAAAGCGGCTTCATCATAGGCTCTTGCGGCGGCTTCTGCAGTATCAAAGGTGCCGAGCCAAACTCTTGCTGCTTTGTGAGGATCGCGTATTTCTGCAGCCCATTTCCCCCATGGCCTTTGCCTTACGCCTCTATATTTTCTTCTTCGCTCCCCGGTTTCTTCATGGGATGCTGCTGCTGCAACAACAATGCTCCGAGTTTCATCACAAACTGCTTTAGAGATTATTGAGAAAGAAAGTTAATCCCATGAAAATCTTAAATGCTTGCAGAAAGTTGCACCTTTGAGTTTTACAAAAGCTGGCTAATGGATAACATGCAATATTACATATTAGTATTATTATTATTATTATTATTATTAACAGTAATCCATATATATATATATATATATATATTGGTTTTATCAAACCGTTGACAATAGGAAAACAAGTATTTTCTAGATTATGCAATCTTATAAGCAATGAAAACAGGAGCTGAACTCGCTAGATTTGGATTGAAAGCGAAATTATAATGGAAAATAGATACCAGAAGTTGCAGCAGATGATGCTGAATCGCCTCTAAAATCAGCAAAACTTCTCTGAATCCCACTTGTTGGTGCAGACTCAATGAATTGAACGCTAGTCTCATCTTCACGCCCTCGTTTTTGACTTATCCGTAGACCCGAAGTCGAGCCAGAACCGGAAGGAGAATCAGCCGATGAGCTGCTGTGTGCAAAACCAGACGACACCTTGCCCGCTACGTTAGCACCGTAACCCCAATCAGAAAATGCCCTCTGTTGCCCCGACACGACATGCGGGAGGACAGATACCATTGCAGACATCTCCGTTGATTGTCCTTGTTGTTGCCCGGAAAACATCATCGGCTGGCTCAGTTCTTGGATTTGAGACAACTGGGAATATTCTTGTTGTTCATCCTCTTCACCACCGCCGCCATGAGGAAACCTGGCGTGCTGACTTGAACCTCTTTGGTGCGCCACCTTGTTGAGTAAGCACATGAAAACCAAATTTTAATCTTTGTGATATTTTTTCCTTTTGTTGAAAAAGAGAAGATTGTATAGCCTTTGAATCGAAATGAAGGGAGGTGGTATATATACGTGGATCGAGGAAATCTAAAAGCTGAAGCTTTGATCATGCGCCGCCACTCTTCTAATTTATAACTCTACATAGATGTTATCAGACACGTGTGGGATCCATGTTATAGATAGGGTTAGATATGAATATATTTTTATTTTCCTTTAATATTCATTGTACTTGGTATCAAATATCAAATTGTATCCACTCTGTTCAGGGTGGAAATATATATATATATATAATTTGAAATTTTTAGGATAAATTATTCAAATATCAATTAATTATGAGATTGACGTTGATATAACCATTATACAATTATAAAGTGATTTTATTGTAATCATTTATCATTAAAAACAAATAGTGTGTGATTTTAATCGAATTAATCGATTGAATTGAATTAATTTGATTGGTTACCAAATTAGTTCAATTAGGGAATAGTTAATATCTTTTAATATACAATCAACTATTAATTGGACTCGAAATTGGTTAATCAACTGAAATTATTAAATATTATATATATTAAATATATATTTTAAGCTCAAACACATTATGAATTAATACCCATTTATTTTTTAGCCACACTAGAATCATTAAATTATTAATACATAATAAATTTTAACCCAAATTAAAAAATTACTTCTCATATATTCAAATTAATATAATTAGAAAATTATTAAAAAAAATCAGTTAATTTGGTTAATCGACCGAAATAACTAGACTTTATTCAGTTCGGTTAATATTTTAAAAAAAAAGTTTAGTTCCGTTAACTGTGAAAGAAAAAAATTTGATTAATTCGATTAATGAATATTCAGTTCGGTCGGTGGTCGAATTAACCATTTGAACAACCCTATATGTGAGAATTCTAAATTATTTGATAATAAATGCTCAAATACTCTCACAAACGATGTGCTCGAACTCAAAATATTTAAAAATAATAATTATCCTTTTAATCACTTAAATTGTTTAATTCGTAGAAATAAAATTATTATTTTCTAAATTACAAAGAGTTATTTTTAAAGTAATTTACATGAGTTCTCTAATTACTTTTAAAATACCACTATTCTTTTAGAAAACCATCCACTTAAAATGTCAGGTAATTTACATTTTAGGTTTTTAAATTTAATATATTTCTTTGATTATGTTACAAGATTTTACATTTCATTCAATTACATTAATAAACTTTTATTATTAATAAATTAAGTTGAATTTTAAACCTTTTTATTATTAACTTTATCTTTAATTATTTAAATCTTAAATTTATATTGTGCTCTTTCTATTTTTTAATTTTTCTTTTTCTTTAACATTAATCTAAACAATGTAAAATAATAAAATTAATTTATCCTTATTGAAATGTTGGTAGAAATTACTTTTTATGCCGTACCATTAAAATTTTAAAATGCTAAAAATTATATTTTAAAAAAAGTAATACAACATCGTCATTTTACTAAGGAAAAATTAATTATTTTTAAAAAAATTTGATAGTGTGATAGAAAATGATAAAATAATTAACACTAGTTTAAAATTATTATATTACATTTAGGTTAATTGATAAGAAATAAAATAAAACTTAAGGATTAAAATATTAAAATGTTAAAGTTAAGGTCAAAAATATTGTTCAGTCTTTATTTTATTTCGGCGATATATTTTTAATTTAATTGTAAAATTAGAGTTTAAATTTTATCTATTTCATATATGAATATATTTTTTTTTCATAAACGTGGGAGCAAAAAAGCATGGGCAGATACCGACCAAATGAAATGTTCACACCATGTAGTTTGACGGACCTCATCGAGTGGTTTATCAAGAACCAACGGCACAGATTTGATAGAGGAGAGAGAAAAACAGATACAAAAGATGAACAAATCATGTTTGAATTGAGTTTGAACATACCGACATTAAAAAATGTAATATTTATGATGGGATTTGTCAACTTGGACAAAGGATTAATTAATGATTAACCCATAATTAAACTAATCCTAATCCTAGTTTATGTAAGGTGTGAACAGGGTTCAAGTTAATTAACATGTTTTCTGTTGGCTATTTTTCGTTTACTTTTTAATGCGTTTGGCAAATTTTATTATTAGATTGAAGAGGAAAAGAGAAAATGCCATTTGATATAAATAATAAAAGAATTTCATATATAATTTTTATCAATAATTTAATGAAATGCAAGTTATATATGAGGTGTATGGTCAAAACACGTCTCTCTCAAAATATGACCCAACCTCCCTGTGCTCAACAGCATATTCTACCATAAACTCTAGAGCAGGAAGAGAAAAAACACATTTTTATATTTTATATTTCATTAAATAGTATTGACATAAATTATAAGCTAATAATTTTTTTTAATTAGATTTTAATATATTTTATTTAAATTAATTTTATATTATACACTGTTTTAAATTTTAGTAAAAATAATCTCCCTATCAGATATTTTGATCGTATTGAAATTATTATCTCTAATTCAGAAAAAAAAATGGCAGCATTCAATTTAAGGTGCTTGAGTCAAAAAGTGAATGTTGAAAATTTTCTTTTTATGGTACAATTCAACAACTCGTTTAATTAATTACAAATAATATTAGCTAACCCTTATTCCCATATGTAATGGGGTAAGGGGAGGTAAGATAATAGGTTGCTCCCAACGCCAGGTTGAGAGCAGTTTCCGTGGGAGACCTCCAAATTATGAAATGCCCTCTGTGGGACTCGATCCCATGACCTCAAGGTTAAGAAATGACCATCCAGCTCAGTTGGTAGAGCATAAGATTTTTAACCTTGGGATTGTGGGATCGAGTCCCACGAAGGGCATTTCATAATTTGGAGGTCTACTCTCAACCTGACGTTGAAGGCAACCTACTATCCTACCTCCCCTTATCCCATTACATATGGGAATAAGAGTTAGCTAATTAATTACAAATAATATGAATCAATAATGAAATCTTGAGCACTTTTTCTAGAAAATTGTGTAATTAATTTTATTTTCATCGTGAATGAGGTAATATTTATCGGATGGAAACATTAACTGCATAATTTAACCATAACTTTTGGATTTATTCAATTAATATATTTTTATTCATTAACTATTTAGGACTTTTAGAACCAATCTCCTATATAAAAGAGGCTCATTCAACTTCGTAATCACATTTTTTTTAATACGATACATTAAGAGTTTATAGTTTCAAGTGTTAATTGATTGTGTATTCGAAACTTCTTTTCATTAAATTCTTTTTAAGTTCTTTGTAAAGGAGATCTTTACATTTCAGTTTGACACTTCATTGCAATTAGGAGGATTGATTAGAATCATTTATCGAATTTATCTTTTCATTACGGTTAGGAGGGTTCTATAGGACAATTATCTATCTATTTCCATCTTCCACATCTAATCATCTTCTTATTCCATTCAAATCCTTCTATTTTCTTCATTGAGTTTAGAGTTTTCTATGTTTGATTCCTCAGTAAGAGCAACATTCATTCATCTGCTGCCGCATATCTATCATTTGGTGAATACAATTTTTTATTAATTTGTGGTAAGTACAAGACAATTTCTTTTTTGTGTGTGATAAATTTATTTTTATCATATAATCATAAAAGCGTTTAACTCCATTTGCGAGCCTCGTTAAAAAAATCCATGATCCTAATCAGAGAAAAACAGTGTAACACAAACGGATAAGAAAACTAAACAATTTCATAACATAAGACAACATATGTTCAAAGATAATTATCAATATTTCAACATTAAATATTCACACATCTGACATATATGATGAATAAGAAAATGTATAGTTTTAATGATTTATAGTTTTGTCAGAGTATTTATTATATTATTTGAGAGAGAAATTTTTTATTTCGTAAAAATTAATTTATTTGAAAAATATTGAAAGTGTGTAATTATGAGTTTTGTATATATTGTTTACAACGAGGATTAAGTAATTAATGAAAGTTATTAGAGAAAAAGAATAATTAAAATAATATTATACGAAAGAAACACTTATAATTACTGTGTATAATTGGATTAACGATTGAGTTAATGAAATATTTTCGAAGAAATATTTCAAAAAATTATCAACTAAACTAATCCGAAAGATTCCTTATTAGACCATGGTATTTGATTCGCCATATACATCATCATTCTATATTTTTTTCATATGTATACCACAACCCAATCCGTGTTTTTCAAGTTTATAATTCCTTCTTCTTTTTTAATCAAAATGCAAATGAAATAGAAATATAAAATATATAAATAGAAATATCTAAATAATATAATAATAATAATAATTAATAATATTAAATATTAATTTAAATATTAATATATTCTAAAATTTTAAATATTAATATGTTCTAAATTGTCTTATATTAAGAGTATTATAGTGAATTTCTTTAAATAAGACGTTAACGAAATAATATTATTATCGATCTGAATTGAATATTTATTATATTTGCATTTGCATTTTTAAAATAAATTGCTAGTATAGTTAATTTTGAAATAAGGGGCTGTAAAGAAACTCGCTGAACTACCTAATCTAATGTTGGAGGTTGAAGAGAAGGTTAAGTGCGGCAAGAAAGTGATGATATTTGTTAAGGAGTAGGGTGGAAATTGAGGGGACATGTGTCACAGGTTAGACTTGTGGGGTCCCTTTTGCATGGGAAGGATGAAATTGGAGACGGCGGATTTTGTTTTATGTCACGACTCACTATCAATGGGTCAACTCTTTATAACCATATATATACACTTGGAACCTAGTACGTATATAGAATCTTTTTATATGTATTTTTTTTTACCAAAATAACAAATAAAAATAAATTCAGCAAAGCATTATTTTCTCGAAACCAGAGTTTTCACTCTGTCAGTACTAGCGATGATAAATTTTTTATCGTGATTGCTTTCGTGAAGGAAAAAAAATGACATACTTTGTTTTTATGGGTAGGAATCAAATTATTATTGTTATTTTTTAAAATAATATAGAGTACTTGTAATAGTTAGTATTCATTTATAAT